TCAATCGTCTGCATTATGGGAGAATACCTTTAATAAGGATTCAATACTCTGCATTTATCTGGTTTGGGACTTTATGTATACAAAGGATTTAATCCTCTGTCTGAATAGAATATTCAAATCGCTGCATCGGTAAAAAGGTATGTATTTCATTCTCAATTAGATTGTACTCTTCTGTGTAGTTGCTGATTTTGGCATCGGTCTAGCAGAAATGGTAAGTTCATTTTCTTTTGTTTATGTACATTTATTTCAAATGTTAGGTCGATGAAGAATTATTCATATCTCTGATTGCCTCATTGTGGTCTAACCATATATATTTTGATGACTGTTCTTAACAAGTAAATGCAGATATTGAAGAAAATCGGATTATATCTTTCCCGCTTTAGATCAGGTAAATGTCATTTTCTTCTTCAAAACAAGTTATGATTTTCACAAGAATTTTGCTTGATGGAGTTTGTGATTTCTTGATTTGACATCATTTGACTTTACGACTATATGAGCTGTCTTTTAAGCTGAAGAACAGCAAGAACTCGAGTGTGTACAACGGTCTGTCTCAGGTTCACTTGTTTTCCTCGCTTTGTTGCAATATTATAACGTTATTTGTTGTTTGCATTAATGTGGACATTAAGCACAAATGCCAATCTTAGGTGTATTTTTCAGATGTAACGCAGAAATTAGAGTGCAAATACAAAATAGTGAAAGTAATAGGTATTTACTGAATATATATATCCTAGTGATTCATGATCCACTCTGGTAATTTGGGATATTATACTTTTGTCCTCTTCATTGGAGTATCGAACTGACCAAGATGGCACAACAACTGGCTATCTTTCAGGTAATTCAGTAATAATTCTACTATTGTTTATGTTGTCAAGTAAACCAATTTACACGAGAAATAATATCTGAAGTTTATAATTATAAGTCAAGGACAGGTGACCTAACCAGCAACAAAACCATATCGCTCCTCTTCCTGGGCACTAACCATTAACCGTTTAACAGAACTTTGTTGCAGATCTTATTAAGAGGGTTATCTGTGTTACAACGTATGAAAAACATATGAACTGCAGAGAACAAGTAAGAAGATGAAGAACCTTATACATTAGCCCAATATCGGTTTCTAAGTTTCATTTGATAGAATCATGTTCAAGGCACTTACATTCATAAATGACGAAGAGCCGAAAGAGCAAGCAAACCGGAATCAGAAATCATCAAAGCATATATGCAACAAGTTCATGGGATATTTGAATTCACCAGAATAACTCAACATAAGAGTTTTAAGCAATGTTTTTAACTCGGATAATGCGTTGGGAAGCCCGTTTAGTAGCGGTACTTGGTGGAGTAATCTTTGGGAGCAATCACCAACCCACGACCTTTCCTTGCACCGCGGTAGACGGTTTCGATGATATCAATGAACTCCTGCTTGTCCTTGAGAGCCCAATTGATCTTGTTGTTGTTACCAGTTCCAAGATCGATCATGATGTGTTTGTTCCTAAAGAAGAACATGACCGTCGAAGGATCATAGAGCTCGTACATGGTGTTGAAGTCTGGAACCTCACTTATGTCAACCAGATATATGACTGCAAAGTTCTTTATCGTCTCAGCAACAGAAGAGAGCACTTCATCCATCTACAAAACACACAAAATCACCGAATCAAACCAGAGAACCACTACTGTTACAATCAACAAAGTCACCGAATCAGCAAAAAACATAACGGATCAGAGACACTGGTACGAAAAAATTCGAAACCTTTCGTATACATGATTGCTAGTGAAACCCTAATTTTCCATCAGTTTCGAGCTAAAGAACACACGAATAGCTCAAATTTTCAAACAATCACCACAAAAGATAACAATTTTCCAGCACGAAAAGGATCCGATTCGAAATTCGAGACTACCAATCGAATCAAAGCATTTAATCGAGTTCAAAGATCAAAAACAAAGGTAAAGAGGAAGAAACGAATCGCAATACCTGCATACAAGTCTCATCCCAATCATGGCCGAATCGTATAACGACAAGACGCTCTTCCTCGGCGAGAATCGCCTGATCAACAGCCCAACCGGAGTGCAAGTGCGGTAGAAGATACGACATCCTCTCGACGATTCCGATCTGTTTCCAATTTCACTCCTTTACTTTCGTGCCCTATCGGATTCTTCTTATTGACGACGATGACCGACCATCACGACCCGAACCGACCCGACTCACAGAGTGCGAATTGAGTTAGGCCCATGAAATACTTAATGTTTGGGCCCAATAAGGATAAGTCCACGAGAATGAGAAATGGACGGTGAAAAAGGAAGTGGAGCACCATAATTTAGTATGGGTTACCTGTAGGTGATTAAATCCATAGAATCTAATTATCCTATCCAAAAATCTTCATTGAGGTCAGAGCTATCAACTCCATTTTGAAGCTAAAATTCTCTGATCTCTTTCAATTTTTCCCTCTAAATCCCTCAAAACGATTCTCTTTTTGTACTTTAATCTTCGGGAATCCATGGATTTCGCTACTTCCTCTCTCTGTCAAGCTCACAAGGTCGCTCTCACGCGTCAACCTTCTTCTCAGGTCAACACCTGCTCCCTTGGTTCGGTCTCCGTTATCGGATTCTCGCTTCCGCAATTCAACTCTCCGTCTCTAGCTAAATGTCGCCGGAATCAGAGCTCTTCCGGCTTCGTTAGAGCAGTTGTTGAACAGAAGACCCGTACAGCTATCATCAGAATTGGAACTAGGGGAAGGTACAATTTCTCTTCTTTTTTTTTGTCTTATGGATCTCAGTAGAAGATTCCGTGAGCGATTTTTGAGTCAATAAGCGCTTAAATGCTAATGGGTTTCTTAATTCGGATTCAAATTGTCGACTTCGACAGGTCCTCTGATTCGGATCCGTTTCATGGATTTAAGGGAGTATAGTGGACAATGTCGATCCATAGCTGCGTTTATGTAGATGGTTAGATGCTATAGTGTATAATTTGTTTGCTTAGAGATGAGACATGGATCTTTTGGTTAATGATCAGGTTTCTGGTCTTGTGATTGATTTTGTTGCATTAATGGTGAATTGAGTTTAGCCTCTCTGATGTGTCTTCATTATCTTCGTATATCTCTGCTTATATACTCTCACTGTGTAGGACAGTCCTCTAGCACTTGCTCAAGCATACGAGACTCGAGAAAAGCTTCAGTCAAAACATCCAGACCTCACTGAAGAAGGAGCTATTCACATTGAGATCATTAAAACTACCGGTGATAAGATTCAATCTCAGCCGCTTGCTGATATTGGTGGGAAAGGACTTTTCACCAAAGAAATAGACGAGGCCTTAATTAACGGTCATATCGACATAGCTGTTCATTCGATGAAAGATGTCCCAACTTATTTACCGGAAAAAACGATTTTACCTTGTAACCTTGTCCGAGAGGATGTTCGAGATGCGTTTATATGTTTGACTGCAGCTTCACTAGCTGAGCTTCCAGCTGGAAGTGTTGTGGGAACAGCTTCTCTTAGGAGAAAATCGCAGATACTCCACAAATATCCCTCGTTAGCGGTAAGTTAACACATTTTGTTACGCATTATCTGGGACTATCGAAACGTAGAGACTGCCGTTTCTTTGTGTGTATTTTCTTATGGTTTGGTTTATCTTTTTGTAATTACCTCTGCAGGTTGAGGAAAACTTTAGGGGTAATGTGCAGACAAGACTATCAAAGCTTCAAGGAGGAAAGGTCCAAGCAACTCTATTAGCACTAGCTGGTCTCAAGAGATTGAGTATGACAGAGAATGTCGCATCCATCTTATCTCTCGATGAAATGCTTCCAGCTGTTGCCCAAGGAGCAATCGGAATCGCCTGCAGAAGCGATGATGATAAAATGGTATGTTAAGCTCTCTTGAATATCATTCATTTGATCTAAATCTGAGGATTTTCTACTTTCTTTGATGATGTTTCCTTTCATGGGACCTTTGGATCTTTAAGTGTGATTGAAGAAATGATTCTATTGGTATTTTTCATCTGTAGGCAAATTACTTAGCCTCGTTGAACCATGAAGAAACAAGACTAGCAATTGCATGCGAGAGAGCGTTTCTTACAACGCTAGATGGCTCATGCCGTACTCCTATTGCTGGTTACGCGGCCAAGGACGAAGAAGGCAACTGCTTTTTCAGAGGATTGGTTGCTTCCCCTGACGGTACTAAAGGTATAAAAACATTCCTTCATAAACACATGTGAGAGGATAATTAGTACACATTCCTGTTGAGAGAAACATCGTTCATTTCTTTTTTGTGTCAGTTCTTGAGACCTCAAGAAAAGGTCCATACGTATTTGAAGACATGGTGGAGATGGGAAAAGACGCAGGGCAAGAACTTCTTTCTCGTGCTGGTCCAGGCTTCTTTGGCAACTAAGCCATTCGAAGATGAGGGAGAAGAAGAGATGTGACACAGGCTGAGTCTAGAGTTTAGGAGTTTGTCAACATCTTGAAGTCCCTCTTCTTCCTCCTAAAAATCTGTTGTAACTTTTTTGGTTTTGAGAGAAACATAACCTTTTGTTATTGATTGTTTTCTTGTATTTAGATTAAATTCCTCTAGCAATTGTACCAAATTTCTCTTGCAATTGTACCATTTTTTATCCCACTCTGAAACTAGTTCCCAGGAAACTAGCGGAACAAAAAGAACACATGAGACTTTAGCTCACCTCCTTTGATCTTCTTCATCATTAACTGGAGTATACCACTCCGGTCTTCTCTCAGAACTGCTCAGCCTATAGTTCAGCATCAGTTCCTCATTGCACAACGGTCTTGTAGCCACTAGAACAAGCGTCTTCAGTACAGTAGCATCCAAACCGCTATTACGCTCTGTCCTAAACCAGAGGCTTCCCAAGCTCCTCACCTTTACGTCTTCTGCATTCTCGAATGCTACATTCGGAATGTAAGGTCTCATCACTTTCTCTGACAAAGGGAAGTCATATGGGCAAATCATGACATTAGGATCCATGTCTTTACCCGGGTGGTTGACAAAATGACCAAACGCCAACGGATTTCTCATTTCAAGAACCGCTTCTCCATTACCCGAACCTTCAAGCGGTCTACTCAGCATGTTCCCTACCTTGTCTGAACCATTTCCTGCGATACTAGCGTCTGTTCTGATCTCAGGCGTTGTAAAGGAGTTGTTCCATACTGCCCGTGATTCTCCTCCACGACCCCAAAGTTGTGCATTTATTACCACCCCTTCATACCTAGTGATCAGATATGAGTTCTGTGCATCGACATTTGGATACCCGGGAATGTATCTGTGGAAAGCAGGAGAATAAATCACACCAGGGTAAAAAGCTAAGACAGCTCCCACATCTGCTTCACCGTCTATGAAACAACCTTGACCCGCGTCTTTGTGAGGTATTAAGGATGGTTTGATCTCGAGGGTGTACCCAATTCTTTCCTTTAATCGATGTGAGACTTCAACAAGTTTAAGCGGCTTAGTCTCAGGAACAACTGTGCTGAAGAAGAATCAATGAGAAATGATTAAGATAAGAAGAAATTTAGATATGCATAAGTTCACTACACATATTATTAAGACTCACCTGACTTGTCCGCAGTTGGAACATTATCGTCTTTACCAATGGTGAAACTAAGCTCGCTTTTACGAGGAGTGCTTCTTGCTTCTGATCCTAACTCATTTAGTTCCTCTGTTTTGTTGATATCAGGAAGAAGAATATCATCCATCGAAGCACAAAAGTTTTCGACTTGGTAGTGAATGTTCTCTTGAACTTGCTTCTGTTGCTCAGAGGAAGTGGCTTTACCAGCCATCTCAATGATCTCTTCTGCATCCGCCTCCTCAGCATCACGACCCAAACGATTATAGCTAAATCACAGAGAATCTCCATTAGCAATATAGAGGAGAGAATTTCCAGCAATTGGGGATACAAACACCGAGATTACTCGATAAACAAACAAGTTAATACTTCATAATCAGGATTCCTTCTTTGAAACACTATGAATATCTTGTTCAAAAGCAATTCATTACAAACAAAATACCAACCTTGTAAACATAAAAAGTTTGTTAATGTCGGCTTCAAATTGAAGTTGCCTTGGAGCTTTAGCAAAAGTATTACTCTTTGCTAGAACACCAACACCCTGGAAACCTCACACAAAGAAAAAAACCAATACTCAACACTTTCAGACACATTAATTACATCAAAAGTTGTCGGATTGACATGAAATTAACAATGCCAATTGTTCATATCAGAAGAAACCTTCAAACTACATTTACTGAAAGAAAAGCTAGTCAATGTGATTCGATTCAATCAGTTTCATAGTAGTACTCACATGTGTTCTAAGTCTATACAAGCTTAGCAGAAAAAACAGAGTGACACATATAGCTAATTCAAAGGAAGAATCTTTTACAGTGAAGACGAAATCCTACACAAGACTCGAACTTTCTTCATACCCAACATCGAAAAACTCATTCAAAAGAGGAAATTCAATGTAAAACAAAAGTTATACGGAAAAGGGATTCACTTTCACCTGCTGAAATTTGCTGAAAAGAAAAAACATTTTTGAAAACGCCATTCTTTGAATCGACGAGCAGAGAAGAAGATGAATCGCAAGTGCTTCAGTTAAAGATGTGATTCATTTTACATTAAAGGAAACGACACGACACCGTTTTCTTAGTGGGCTGAGATTATTTCATATAACTGGGCCGTTGCTTAATATGTTTTCTGTAAAATTAAGAGTAATCATGTAGATTAATGATATTATATTTTTGAAAATGATAACTGATGAACACTATACAAAATGTAAAAAACGTGAAATGTAATGTAGCATCATCACTTGATTCAATTTAAATATTAAATTTAAGATGTACTAGTTTTTTAATGCAAACGTCTATGGTAGTTCCCTCTTAACAATACCGAAGAACATAAATTGATAAAATGCAGATATTACCTAAATTATACAACAATATATGGGGTACCACTTTAAATCTGTAGTTAACTATAGGCACTATAATATTTGATAACTTATTAAATAATAGTACTACATACAATTTAGTAAAAAATAAATGTAATAAGAAAATGTTGTCAACACATATAATATATTTTATGGATTAAATATTGACAAAAAAGGGTTTAAATCTATACATAATAATGGGACATAATATTATTTGTTAAATTTTCTAAATATGATCAATCAAATTAATGTTAAATATCTTTTTATTATGTTACATGGCTTTCTTTCTCAATATAAAAACGTAAAATAGAGATTTTCTTAATGATGCAAGTAATTAATAATTGATATATTTCTTCTACACATGATTTTGTAAATACGTCGCCAAACGATATATATATAGACGTGATACTCCTTATAATAAATATCATTTCATCTATAAATATTACTCTACTGTCCAACAAATATTATATTGCTTTTAGC